TATGTAAGCCTGTAAAACCTGCAGACAGTCAGATTAACAGTATTTTGTCTCTATCTGCCATTCTGCAACTCATCTCATGTAAACAATAACGTGGCGCACAGCGTGACGTGAAAAAGGCACGTACCTTTGACGTTGCATGACCAACTCTGTATTCCTCGTCCACACGTAGAAGCAAAAAAGGAGTTTTAAAAAATCTCAGTTTTCGGTGATTTGAAACGCCGTTTACGTGGATGAAACAGCTGCGTGTTCAAAAATACCCGTGTAGGTGCGGACGCAGCGTAAAAGAGTTAGTGGTTTATTTTATTACATACCTGTAATTTATTGCAGATTACTTGTATTTGCTTAATTGTTTACTAAATGTTTGAGGTGTGAAGTAAACCGCAATGGAGGGGGGGGGATTTTTCTTGTAAAACATAGGGGGGCCCAGCAAAAAAAGTTTGGGAACCACTGCCTCACAGAATGTCTAGCCGAATTAAAATCCTGGTTTAGCTCTAATTTTCTCAAGCTCAATGAGGATAAAACTGAAATCCTTCTTATTGGAACCATTTCTCACACTATCGATAATTCAATTCAATTCAATTCAATTTTATTTATATAGCGCCAAATCACAACAAAAGTCGCCTCAAGGCGCTTAACTCCTCAGTTTTCCCTTCTCAGGTTAAGAGCCTTGGTGTCATCCTAGACAGTTCACTTTCCTATAAATCTCACATCAATAATCTCACCCGTTCTGCCTATTTCCATCTACACAACATTAACAGATTACGTCCTTCTCTTTCCACCCAGTCTACGTCCATTCTTGTCCACAGTCTTGTTACCTCCCATATGACTACTGCAAATCTCTTTTGCATGGTCTTCCCCAAAAATCTCTCCATAAGCTTCAACTGGTTCAGGACTCTGCTGCTCGCATTATCACCAGAACCCCTCCTACCAGCACATCACCTGTCCTTCAGGATTTTCACTGGCTCACAGTGAAAATCCAGATGATATACAAACTTCTTCTGCTCACCTTCAAGGCCATTCCTAACCTGTTAAGCACTACCTTTTCTGCCCATTCACTTCGATCTTCTTCTATCCAGCTTTCTGTGCCTTCCTTCCGCCTCACCACCACGGGAAGCAGAGCTTTTAGCGGTTCTGCTCTCAGGCTGTGGAGCTCTCTGCCCCCAAATATAAGAAACACTGGTTCTCCCCCCAGTTTAAATCCCAACTCAAAACTCATCTGTTCAAATCTGCAAGTTCACTGTGAATCCACTGTTTGTTAATTTTATCTTGTGCTTTTGTTTTTATTGTTCTTCATTGTTCTATTATGTGTTTTTATCTATTGTACAGTGTCCTTGGGTGTCTTGAAAGGCGCTTTATAAACAAAATTTATTATTATTATTATTAACTGTAGTTTGCCTCCACCAGTGTGTGAATGTGAGAGTGAATGAATACTGGAATTGTAAAGCGCTTTGAGGGTCTTATAAAGCGCTATATAAATGCAATCTATTATCTGGTTCTTTATTTGTAGACCTCGAAAATTATACAGACCGTTATATTGGTATTAAGATGCAAGACAAATTTTATTGCCAATTTAGTTTTAATATTTATATTGTTAAATTATCAAAAGGCTATTAGTGCAGCAAAAACAAAGTATTTCTCTAAGATCGTGTCTGATAACAGTCACAGACTTCGTATTAATCACTAAGTTAGTTATTAATCCCCCTACTGCTGCTCCCCACATAGCATCGAAACATGTGAAAACTTATTGAAATTCTTTATTAACGGGATCACAGATATCAGGTCTCGTATTATCCTTCCGACCCATCTGTTCATACGCCAACTTGGTTGCTTGTGACCACTTTGAGCCTGTTGTCAGTGGTTGCAGTGTGGCTGAGGAAAGGAGGACCCAAGCGCTGGACTCACAGGTAGGTGAAGGCTGGTGTTTATTGCTGAATGAACGAACAGAACTGAAGCAGGAAATGACTCGCTAGCTGGCTGAAGGAACTAACAGCCACAACATCAATGACACGACGGTGAACGAGTGGAAACAGAAGACTTAAATACACAGACTGATGAGGATGCTAATGAGAGATCGGTGGGTACACAGCTGAACATAATCTGGCTAA